TCAGTCCTTTAGGAAACTGATAGATGACATATCAAATCAACTCTTACAATGTTATCGCTTTGTTTTATTGCTTTATTAAGCAGTAGTAATTTTTTTTTTTTTTTTTTGTGCACAGTAAGCATGTGAACTGAAATAAACATTAGGCATTTGGTTTACTACCTTGCTAACAATACTGACAGTACTTTGGTCTAAGTCTTTAAGCTTTATTCCAGTCAGGCTTAAAAAAAAACCATGCGATTAGTTTTATGTGTTATGTGTTCTTCACTCTTTCGTAAAATTGATTTTTGATAAGGCAAAAACTGAGTTGTCATTTTAGAGAAATAGTACCACTTGAATATTTTCCCTTAACGTTTAGTCTGGATTTTAAGTCAGAAATAATTTCTCATTAGTCCTCTTACTGTTACTTTAGGAAATTTGGAACAAATCAAGGTATTTTCTGATTGAAATTTTAAAGAATTGCAGTCTTTGTTCTGAAGTGGTGAAGTAAAGTGTTAAGGCTGCAAGATTTGTGTTTACTCTAAAAACTATTTCAGGCAGGGTAAGTAAGACTTGTCACCTTTTAAAAATATTTCTATAAAAGTGAATGAGGTCAGGCACGGTGGCTCATGCCTGTAATCCCAACACTTTGAGAGACTTCGGCGGGTGGATCATGAGGTCAGGAGTTCCAGACCAGCCTGGCCAAGATGGCAAAACCCCCCATCTAGTAAAAATACAAAAACTAGCTGGACATCGTAACGGCTGCCTATAATCAATCCCAGCAACTCAGAGGCTAGGCTTAGGCAGGCAATTGCTTGAACCCAGGAGGCTGAGGTTGCTGAGCCGAGATGGCGCCACTGCACTCCAGCCTGGGCGGCAGAGAGTGAGCATTCATCTCAAAAAAAAAAAAAAAAAAAAAAAGTGGATGAATGTATATTCTTGATAAACATTTAATAGAATAAATAGGTTCATCTTTTAAAAATATTTGACACGAAACTACTATATAGAAAACTAATGGTAAAAAGTTATTCTTCAGGAATGTTTCCTAAAACTGTTAATTCCTTTAAGTTGGCTGCTGAAATGGTTTCCTAATAACGCTTTGTTATTCTGTTTTATTTCAACAATACGTATGTAGTAATATTGTTCCTATTTTGATGAGAGACAAACCCATGAAACAGTTTTTAAAATCAACAGTTGCTTTTGATATATCCCTTTGATTATTAAAATACAGCTATTGGTACTTTTACCCAAGTTTGTTATATTTTTAAAATAATTTTTAAGAAAATCATATAGGCAGAAATAATCTAAATAAAAATCAGATTTTTATTGTCTTTGAGGGAATGTAGTTACATTCCTGTATAAGGTTAACTAAGTTTTTGTCTTTTAAATGATTTGTAAAATTTGTTATGTGATAAAGGAAATACGTATTCGGTATTGTGTGCATTAGTATTTGTTACTTTGTAACACAGTGATTGAGTTACAGCTTTCTTTTCAATGCATGATATCACTTTCCCATGATGTAATATAGTTAATAAATTTTCCAGTGATTCTTGAGTGTTGGAGTATGAACAGATGAAGGATAAAAGATTCTTGTCTGTATTTCCCTGTTTCATTACTATGTGGTCATGCTCCTAGTCCACTGTCCATCAGTACTGTAGAGTTAGCCTATTGACATTGACATGTCAGGTGTCGCGTACATAGCCAAGGGATTTTCATGGAATGCCTTTTTTGTCATTACATTTTTCTAAGATATTTTACCCAAACCAAGTTTTTTTCTTTAGTAGTGATGGTGTTCATTTTTATTTTATTTATTTTTTTATTGGAGTGTGGTGTAAAGGAGAGGAAATAGAATGGGTAGTGAGTTGCAGATAGGAAAATATGTGTGCAACTTTGAAATTTTTTAAATGGATATCTTCAAATGGAAAGTATAATAGAATTGTCAAAAATTGTTAATGTGTTTGACAAAGTGTGGTTGCCAGTATGACCTTTTTGTTACATTTTGACATGAACAATTGTCCTTTTATTGGGGCTGTTAATGCTATTTTGGAATATCATGGGCATCTAAAGGCAATAGTTTAGCAGTGTCCATAAAGCATCAAATGCCGTTATAATATCTAGTAAACCTAAACAGCAGTATTTCAGAATCCCTGCCTGTTTAAATGGGCTATCTGTGAATGTACTTGCTCAGGGATGCATGACCCACATCACCTATAAATTTGATTGGAAGCTACAGTACTGGCGTAGCCTGATGGATAGCAGATTAGAGCCCTGATTAACCATGTGATTCAAAGACTGGGAATATATTGTCTAAGCAAGATTCATCAGATGCAATCAGAATTTCAAGTGGTCAGATGAAATTCAAATGTGTATTGTGGCTTTTCCTCCCCTATTGCTTTTCCTCTTAGGTTGCCTTTTTTTTCTTCTTTCCCCAAAGCTGAAAAATACTTCTTTGATGAATCTGCTCCTTACCCTAAAGCTGTCTGTCTGTTATTCATCAGAAAGCAGGTCGCAGTTCAGTGAGCAGAAGAAAAGATTTTAATAGAAGCTGTGCCAAGGGCTGTAATGCATCATTTTAGGGCCCTAATTACATTACAATGACAAATATCAATGGTGACAACAGCAATAACCTACATCCTTTAATGGCTGTGCTGGAAAGGAGTTTGGGCCCCACGCCATTATATTAGACTCAGTTTCAAAACATAGGCCATTAGAAGTGTGTGTCCACAGTGTTATTGGCTGATTGCTGAAGCCCAGTGGAAAGGCCTGTAAATAAATGATGCCTCCCTAAAGCTGGGTCTTATGGGACAAAAGAGGCAAAATTAGATGACCATGGAAGCAGCCGTGTTTCCGAGGCAACTTTAGCTTTCAAAGTGAAGAATGACCTGCTTAATTTTATGAAATCACACACACATCCAACCCCCACCCCCGCTGCCAATTAGCCTGACCATGAAAATCCATTGGCATGACAACTTAAAGAAATTAAGAAGTCTATTAAACAAAAGGAGACCCTTAACGAAAGTTTGGGAGGTTTCTACTCTCCGTTTTCTGTTGTGTGTTTGTTAACATACATGATTGAGTAAAAAAGGCTCTTCTTTTTACATTTATTTGTAAGAATATGTAGAATTTTTTTTTAAGTAGTTGCTCAGTCTTAATACAGCCTAGGTCCAAAATTTTGTTATTTTCACCAGATGAATAAGTTTCCTCAGAGTAGTTTTTATTGCCTAGATTATGTAGGCAAACTAAAGAACTCAGTTTTCTTATGTGCCCACACATTTTTCAGCCCTCCTAGCAAGGGACTATTTTATTTATGTAAACAACATAATGAGGAAAATATGCCTGGCAGATGGTTCTAAGCATTAGAATCATCAGTTTGGTCTGCCCCAAAGTGTCTCATTATCTTTTATTCTCTCCCCCTCCACCTCTCCCTGCAAAAAGCTTAACAACCAAATGCCTTTGAGACGCAGTACTTTCAGTCTGGTGAATGCTACACTATTTTCTTAGCTCACCCTGGAATTTCACCCCATAACCACTGTGGTATGTTCGTCCAGGTGGAGAGTGGTTTGGTGATTCCCATTGCAGCTCTTCATGGTGGCTTAAGCATTCTTAAAGGATGGCTAAATGCTCCATGGGGCCAGTGCAGTAAATTAAATCAGGTCAGCACAGTTGGGTCCTTATTCACTGCTGCTTATTGGTGCTAGGTTTTTGTCCATCCTGTTAGGAATGCAGGCTGGAATGGAAAGCTTAGGTTTGAAACTTCATGGTGAATTTGTGTTTTCTTTTGGCTGGCAAAGTTTTTAAGGTGCTGGCATTTAAAAGATTGCATAGCTACAAAGTTAGAAGGGTTGCTGATGAAAGAAGGAAGCCTGGATTGCACAAGTAGAGTGTCACTGTCATTCTGGTAATGACTTGGCAAGAAAAAGCATTTTGGACCTCTCATAAAATGAGGAACTGACCCCTGGATGGAATTAAAGAATGTCTTAGGTATAGTCATTTCTTTACATTTTCTGCCTTTCAATATTTCTTAGCTCTTTTTCCTTCATTCCATCATTAAACTATAAACTATTTTGTATGTATGTGTATTTAAAAAACGGTGTGTTTATATATCACAAGTATACAGGACACCATCTGAAATACAAATTAAGATAAACTAGTAAATCTGTGGGTAACTTTTTAGACAAAACATATAGTGGTGATGTATTTTTTTAACTTTCTGTAGCATTTTATTGGTTTAAAATGTCTGTACTTCCAAATATTATTGGAGAATAGACTGTTCTCTGATACTGTTGGGACTTTTGCATATCTACAGTAAAAAAATTAAAAATGTTCCCAAGGATAGTCTCCATATACATACAGATTGCTTTCTGCTAAGTGTAATAAGATTTTAGCATATCTCAACTTCCATGCACCAAAAACTCTGATAGGACACATTTGGAAATTTTTGTGGTTGAAGAAAACATCCCATTCTCCAAGAATTTATAAGAATCTGAATTAACGACCTTTTTTGTTACCCTTCCTTGGGTACTGCCATTTCAGAAGTTCAGGGTCTTGGGTTTAAAATCACAGCACCAGTGTTTTTAAAGCAAAGGCCACAAATACAAAAATCCAATGAGTTACTAACTAAAGGAGTTGAGATGTAGGAAAGGATGTATCTTTACTTATCTAAATTCTAAACACTTAGAACTGACTGCAGGTTTTATGAAAAACATTAGTATGAGCAAGGTTCCTGGTGAAGGCTTTTGAAAACTGATTTCCAGTCATAGAAATTAAATTCCATTTTATATTGCCCTGATCCTTGAAGGTTAACTTTTTAAGATGAATGCTATTTAATAAATTGTGCTGTTAATGTGGCACTGTTGTCACTGCTGCTTTTTAATGGGCTTGCTGATGAGATAGTTTTCCTCTTCCTTAGGAAATAAGCCAGCTAAATTATAAAGTATGTTTTAATATCATCCTGTTAATATTTCGGGACTCTATAACCAGCTGACTGTTTTCTTTATTGCTTTCCTTTCCCTTCTTTTTTGCAGGCAGAGATTGTCAAGAGGCTGAATGCTATCTGTGCACAAGTCATTCCTTTCCTGTCCCAAGAGGTAAGATGGTTGATTTTAGGCACTCGGCTAAAAGTTGCCATTTTAGTGGTTTTGCAAAAAAGGGATTGTAGAACTGACTCTCTGGCCTTGCCAGTCTCTTGGTGTTTGTATTTTATTTACATTTCTAAGAAACAGTGTTCTTATTCCAACTTTTACACCTTAATAACTTTCTGTGGAATATAATTTAAATGTGTTTATGTAATGGAATATTTTCTAGTTGGGCTAAGCAGAATTCAGTCGTTAAAATATTTTGCTATCTTTGTAGTGTTGCTCGGAATTATGCTTGTTTGTCATAATGGTACCTAATAGGGTAGACTGAAAAACTGCCAGGAAAACAGGCGCTTACTCTGTACTGTTGTGATTGGGTGTTAAGGATTGGCAGAGGACATCTCAAATGCAAAGACTTCACATATTAACAAACTAATGAAGCTTTTGGCTAGTTACTTTTAAAAATTTACTTCTTGTTACCTGATTAAGTCTTTATATTATTATTCATTTGGGAAAAGATCTGCAAGATGAACTCAATGAACTCCTTTTTCTAAGTGCCACTTTTCTCAAAATTAGGTTTTTGTGATGGTAGGCTTAGCACATTGCTAAAGTCTGGCATGCGGCTCGCTAGTTCTCTTGCTTACCGCCAGAGGAAGAGCATGCTGTCAGCAAATGGGCACAGGTTGGAATAAAGCGTTGCATTTCCAGTGCTTGTTGGCTTCCTTTGTGGCTTTTCTTCTCTCCCTGCTTGCTTTTGGTAGTCACAAAGTTTAAGTGAGAATACTGGAAAAAGATAACTTTTTGCTTCTGGATTACCGAATGCCTTCATTTGCTCAGGTAAGATCCAGTTTAAGAAGGAAGGAGCTAATGAAATATCTGCATGTCTTGTAGCTGCAATACTTTGTGCTGTGGGCTGAGAAGGCACAGAGGCACTTTTCTCCTACCCAGTTGCTCTATAAGTGTGTTGTGTCACTGCTTTTCAGGAGAGAGGTTTATTCGCCTGCCTGCCAGCGGGCATGTGCTTATGTTATGTGGCCAGTATTTGAACATGCATGTGTTTTACAGATATGCAGATTGCTATAGATGATTTTTTCTTTGGTCTGAACTGGGTTAGACTTGAGTAACTATGGGTACCCTTCATAAGTATATACTGGGGAGGGGGCACTCATAGTCACAAATCTTAAAACTGAATTCACATGCTTTTCTGGGTCTCCATAAACAAAGGATATGTTGTCTTTGATCCTCCTTTAGCTGTGAGTACAAAACCTACCACTAGTCATATCCGCATTTGCCTGTTTTTACTTAGGATTTGCTTATGACTAGATTAGATGGCTTGGTGAATGAGGGTCAAGGGGTGTATTTGCATTTCTTTTGGAAACCTGACTGCCCCCTGCCTGATCCAGATTAGTGTGTACTTTTTACTTTAAGCAGCTCTGCTTTATGGAGATGGAGAATGGGAAGAATGTGTGACCCACAGAGCTGTAACCAGGCTGGGGTGTCATATTCTAAGGTGACAGGAAAAAGTTTGAATTGTTCCTGGGGTGGTATTAGACTTTGGGCCTCTGTAGGCACAGACCCCTGTATGTGATCACTGGTAAAGCTTTGGTCTCATCACATTTCTGTGAATTGTGTTCAGAAGCCGAAGGTTGTTTTGGGGATGTCAATGAAGCTGATTTGCCAATGAGTTGTTTTCCCACATGAATTATGTTGTTTGTGTGAGCAGGCCCAGCGGGAACAGAATGTTTAATAGTAGTGGTGCTGAGCAAGACTAGACTGAAATTAGTTGTCTAAGGAAGTTGTACCTGTAGATGAAAGCCATGGGGAGATACTGGCAACTCATTTGCTCTAGTCTGGGAGGACAGTTGTCATACTTAACAGTTGTCATGCCACTTAACTATTTATTTCCCAAATACTTTAATATTTCTCGGTTGAAATCCTTGATTCATGTATAATGATTTATGCCAAGCTTGTCCAACCCCAGGACCCTCAGGCCACATGTGGCCCAGGACAGCTTTGAATGTGGCCCAACACAAATTTGTAAATTTTGCTAAAACATAATGAGATTTTTTTTTTGCTTTTTTTTTTTTTTAAGCTCATTAGTTATGTATTTTATGTGTAGCCCAAGACAATTCTTCTTCTTCCACTGTGGCCCAGGGAAGCCAGTAGATTGGACACCCTTGATCTATGCCATGGAAATGTTAATTCTGTGTATACATTTTCTTTTGCTTACTTTAGATTTAATTTGCTCTTCTTTTTCTAGTTTCCTAAGGTGTGTGTATATCTTTTACTGTGTGAGACACAAACATGTTTGTTTCCTTCAAATCAGGGCATCTCTGATGTTTTTTATCTGAGCATTGTCCACCTTCTTTCTTTCCTCTTCTGGGCATTCTGTGAGCATCGGACTCTTTACTTCTGCCCTGAAGCCAGATGGACCATAATCTGGAGGGAGGGGAAGAGCAGGTTATTAGAGGAAGATGAATTCTATTTCCTGTCTCTTCAGAGGCATGGAAAATCACTCTTGCATGGCTGTGAGCGTCACTCTGTGCCAGGACTGAAGGCTCTTAATCTGATCTTTTAACACCGGCTCTCTGTGTGACAGTTTCGCTGCCAAAACGGCAGCTGCTGCATTAGAATTTATTTTAAAATGTTTTTATTTAAAAATTAAATGATCATATTTAGAAAAAAGAAGAACAATTCCTGAAGAGTAGTGTATAAGCTAACAGAACAGTGGCTGGGAGTGATTGTGAGCATCTGAAGTCAGGCTTTTTGGAGTTTGACAGGAACAAGGGGTATATTTACATACTGTTAGACGAGTCTCTCTTTAATTTAGCCCTCATGTGTTGATTAATGCATCTGCTTAATGTTGCTTGCGTGTAGTTTACCACATTTTTTTAAACTTAAAAAAATTATATAATACTGAATGATAACTATTAAATAAATTTAGTTTTAACTTCAAGACTTTTTTTTAGAAATGAGTTGTATAATTGTAGTTCAGAAGTACCTGAAGTTTGTATATAGAAATCACAGAAAAATATTTTGCTATTAGAGTTTACTAAAACGTTAAAAAATATTATAGCCGTATATACTTTAGTGATGTGCTGGTCCACTCATGTACAACTACTTTCAGTGTTACAGGGATTTGACAAAGATATTGCCAACTCTTGTCATTAAAAGTGAGTATCCATCACTTGGAGTTAATAGAATTTCACAGGATTCTCAGTATCAGAATTTAGAAAAACCTTGTGAACTCTCATCTGTCCCAAGCTATTCTTTTCTCTCACTTTTTAGCTTTTAGGAGTAAGACTCAAATTTCTTCTTCAAAAAGCAATCTCAAGGTGGTAAATGGAAAGCTCTTTTCTTTCCCTATTTGGGTCTCATTTGCAGGGGAAGAACTATAAATATCAACTCTGAGTTGGCAGTTCCATAAACAAGAGATGCCAGGACGATGCCAGTTGGATCTGGGTCCTGGCCTCCCTATTACAAATCGTGTGGTTTACTCTAACCGGGCTAAGCTGGGTGACCTTTAGCAAGTGATTTGCCTCTCTAAGCCTCAGTTTCCTCATCTGTATGATGAAGTTAATCATAGCATGAAGCACATCCGATGTCTGTGAACATTACTTGGAATTATATCTGGGTAGCTTAGCACATAGTAAGCACCTACTGCCACTAACCGTTAGTATTAGCCACGGTAGTGGCAGTGGAGCTCTGTTTACCCTTGGGAGGACCTGGAACCAGCTTTCCCTCCCTTTGCTAATCATTGCATTTGGGAAGCATGTGAGTTGATTATCTTTCTCTCTAATTTCCTTATAGAAGAAAAAGCAAAAATTAAAAGTGAACCCAGGGCCCTGAGCTAGCTAAAAATCTGTGTTTTTGTTTGTTTCCATTGGCAATTTTGGGATATAGTTTGTAGACCCTTAGACTTTAGTGGGTCCTCAGTAAAACTGAAGATTGCCAATAAATATTGTATTGCCTTCAGTGTCCCAGTAACAGCTCTTCCTCCACCCCCCAATTCCAGGAACGCATTTCCGTACAGGAGAGTCTAAGGTGGACTGAAAATTATGCATCACTGTTACACCCAGGCAGTAAGGGGCGCAGCATTTCTGTTAATTTAGAATTCGACTAGCTCTCCCTCCTCACTCGCTTTGTGTTGCAAAGCTGATCTCTTTAAGTCTTAGTATTCCTATAGAATAAGGAGAATAAGTTCATCTTTGCAAATGTGTATTATGTGATCGAAATGTAACAGACTTGGCATAGGGAATGCCATTTCCCACCCACTCTTTTCCTGTTCTACTTCCAGGAAATAGATTCTATTTCAGCTTATTTTGGGTCCTATGACATTTGGAAAGGAATGACTTAGTGAAAACTGGGAAGAGTTCAAGGTAATATTTCAAAACGAGCTGGCTGGCAGTCTTTCTGTGGAGTTAGCTAGGCCTTGCAGCTCCAGTGGCTGCTTCTAACAGTGGACATTTAGCTTCACACAGGTTGGTCAGGAAGGGAATATTTTTATTTTTTTTTAGTAAACCAGTAGTTGTTTTTCTTAACCTATTAGATTAAGCAGGAAATACTGTGCACTTAGTTGAGGACCTGTTGGAGGACAGTTGTGTTTTTTGTACTCTTGTTTCCCTGTAAGGATCACTTTTAAGATAGACAGGGTATGTTTCACAGTAAATCTACAAGGTGTTCTTAAGCTCTTTGAGAACCTCAAACTTGTGAAAGGCAGTAGGTCAGTAGGTGAAAAGTTTATTACATTATAGTTGAAAATCATTCCCCCAGGGTATAGTTGTTTTTTTCAGAATTGTTGCTTTAGTAACAAGGAGCACATTCATTGGAAGAGCCATGTTAGGCAAGAGGCAGTGTGATAAAAGCGAGAGATCAGCCAGACCCAGGACCAAATTTTGGCTCAGCCACTTGCTTTCTTTAGTGTTGAGCAAAGTACTTAGCTTTTCTGGGCTGCGGTTTGCTTATCAGTATAATGGGATACCTGTACTGTAGGATTGTTATATGAGCATTTG